CCTGATGACGGCCGCCCTGGCACACCCCCGAGTGACCTCATCGAGATCCAGGTGGTGAAGGTGACAGACACCACACTGGTCCCCGAGCCCCCGGAGCCAGGTTCTTTTCACTGTGCCTTGTGCCCTGCTGCCTTCCGGCTGGTTTCCGAGCTGCTGTTCCACGAACATGGCCACCTGGCTGGGGCCGAGGGAAGCGGGCAGGGTGGGGACCCAAGCCGGTGCCACGTGTGTGGCCACAGCTGCCCGGGCCCCGCCAGCCTGCGCGCGCACTACAGCCTGCACACTGGGGAGCGGCCCTACCGTTGCGCGCTGTGCCCACGGGCCTTCAAGGCCTTGGCACCCCTGCTCCGGCACCAGCACCGGCATGGGGTGGAGCCGGGCACCTCCCGGAGGCCTCCAGACGCGGTGGCCACGGCAGAACAGAGGCCCGGGGTGGCCCCGGAAAGGGCGGAGGTGGTGATGGCGGCGGCGGCGGCCGGCGCGGCAGTGGGGAAGCCTTTCGCCTGTAGGTTCTGCGCCAAGCCGTTCCGCCGCTCCTCAGACATGCGAGACCACGAGCGCGTGCACACGGGCGAGCGGCCCTACCACTGCGGCATCTGCGGCAAGGGCTTCACGCAGTCCTCGGTGCTGAGCGGCCACGCCCGCATCCACACCGGCGAGCGCCCGTTCCGCTGCGCGCTCTGCGACCGCACCTTCAACAACTCCTCCAACTTCCGCAAGCACCAGCGCACCCACTTCCATGGGCCGGGGCCTGGGCTGGGAGACTCTGGAGGCCAGCTGAGCTCCGCGGCGGCTGAGGTGTTGGGGAGTGGGTGCGGGTCAGGGGACCCCGCAGAAGAGGGGCAGGGGGAGACCGCGAAGGTGAAGGTGGAGGCCGACCAGTAGGCTGCAGACCAGGGACATGGGTTAGCTAAGGAGGCTGGTCCGGGGGGCGGGGGTGGGGAAACGGAGGCAGGGGACGGAGGAGAGGAGATTGGGGGAGAGATGACAGCTACAGGGATGGCTGTGAGCTGCTGATGATGGAGAGCAGAGGCAGATGGCCAGGCTCCAGACTCCTACAAGCCCACGCAGCACGTCTGCCAGACCTAGGAGAGGGACAGGTGCAGCTCCACAGGTGTGCGGCCACAGGCACGGCCCACAGGCTGGACGTCGCTGCTCTGATGGCTTCTTCATTGGCTTGTCCTTGCGCAAGACCCAGCCTGTCACGGCAGAGCCTGGGCACTTCAGAGGGGGAGCCCAGATCCAATGGAATGCGGGAATTGGGGTCCACCATGGTTTTCTGCTCTGGTCCTCCCTCAACCGAACCCTGGACTCTAGTGGGACTCCTTGGGTGGACCAGGATGGAGTCTCTTGCCTACCTCACTGCACTGCACTGGATCTGGGATGCCTACCCACAATGAGGCACAAGATACCCACCAAGTTGTCTGTGAAGAGACTCTGGGATCCCATCATCTCAAAACCAGAGGGTCCCCAAGTCACTGCTGAGACTGAGCCTCAAGGATGTAAGCCTGACCATAGGATCTTGACTCCAAGAGAGGCTGCCCCCCCTCACCCCCATGGTGGCCCATCCTTAACCCATCCACTCTTCTTTGGAGGCAACTGAAAGCACATAAAGCAAGCAGCTACCTAGCATCCCCTCCTAAAGCTTTAGGCTCAGAGCCCATGCCCCGCCCCCCCAAGCTACAAGGTAGCCTCAGGTTTCCCTCATTTCCTCCACTCCCAGCTGGAAGCAAACAGCTTACCCCATAGTCCCAGGCAGTCCCAAGGAAGGGCTGGCTGACGGCATGACGGCAGCATGGCCGGCTGGTCGGGATGTGGGGCAAAGAAGTCACTGTGGCAGGGGCCAGAGGACTTGGGAGCTGGAGGTGTGAAACTTCCAGCTCCGTTCCTATTAAAGGACATTGTGAAGGGCTTCTCTCTCAGTCTTGTGTTCGGATGTTCCGCTTTGGGGAGGAGGGGCCACACTGTGGTCTCGCCACCAGCAGTGAGTCGCATCATGCCTTCCTCCAGGATTGTTTCCCCATCGTTAGAATGGGTGGGGGGGAGTGAATAGGCCCCACTGTGTGGTTATGTGTTACGTGCTTCAGCTGTAGGAGAGGGGGGTCAGGGAAGTTTGGCAAAGTGAAGGGACGCCTGTGCTTTGCATGCTCGTTGAGTGAGAGTCTCTGATTGGCACACCTTTCTCCTCACCCAGCGCACCCCATGAGATAACTCACAGGCAACTCACAATGTGAACAGAACGCATTCCATTTTCCTCGAAGAAACCTCTCTGCTTCTGATGTCATTGGCACCACCAGCACCCAAGCTGGATACCTGGGCAGGTTTAAACTTCTTCATCCCTCATCCTCGTGTCCAATGTCGTATCAGTTCTCTCAGTTGAGCCAGTTAAATATCTTTGGAATTGGAATGTCTTTTCACCATCACTACACCTGTAGACCAAGCTAACAGCAGTCTCACATACAGACAACTGCACGGCAGCCCAGCTCCCCGCCCACGACTGCCCTCTTTTTTCTTTCTTTCTTTTTTTTTTTGAGATGGAGTTTTGCTCTTGTCACCCAGCCTGGAGTCCAATGGTGCAATCTCAGCTTATTGCAATCTCTGCCTCCTGAGTTCAAGCAATTCTCCTGCCTCAGCCTCCTGAGTAGCTGGGATTACAGGTGCCTGCCACCACGCTCAGCTAATTTTTTAATTTTTAGTAGAGACAGAGTTTCACCATGTTGGCCAGCTGGTCTCAAACTCCTGACCTCAGGTGATCCACCCTCCTAGGCCTCCCAAAGTGCTAGGATTACAGGCGTGAGCCACCACGCCCAGCCACCTGTCTTCTTCTTCCTCCATATGGCAGGCACACAGATCCTCGTGTCTTTGAGAAGGGTTTGAAAATGTGAATGCCTACAGGAGCTGGGTGGCAGTGTAAACACATGAACAAGGCTGCCAGGTTCACGGGGAAATTGCCAGTGACATGAAATATGGGGACTGCCATCAGGTCTCAGAGTTGGGATTCAACAAATTGGACAGTGTCCCATCAGAAGAGGGAAACGGCTGCTCAGCTCCGGAATGCAGAGGGGGTTGCTAATTCGTCTCTTTCAGAAGTTCCATTAGTTCACATTACATAAAATCTTTTGATATCCCAATGTTGGCAGTTAAGTAAAACTTTTTTAAAAGTTCATAAACTAAACAAGAATGTGTGGGTCAGATTCCGCCTTGCAGCTGCCAGTATCCAGCCTCTAGTCTGTAAAATCACCCACGCCCCACCATTTGGAATTCAAGACCCTTCAGGGTTTAGCCCTCAAGAACTCAACCTTCAGCCATACTACTGTTTTAAATTATCCAGAATAGCAGGGGTTGGTTCAACACACTGCGCTCTCTGCCTGGAAATTGTTGCCACTTCTCTACCTGGCAAACTCCAGTTGGTTTATGTCATTGTTCAGGCATCACCTTCTCTCCAAGAAGCTTTTCTAGCCCCCCCCGCCCCCCGTCCACTCTGGCAAGGTCACTCCCCTGTGCTGCCTCAACCCCCAGTGATATTTCCATGTCCTTTACATTGTGAGACTCCATATCCACATTGCTGCTACACCCTGAACCCTGGGGCACTGGCAAAACGTCTGTCTCATGCTGGGTCTTCAGCATTAGAACATGGAGCCACATGGGGTAGCTGCCCTCTCATGGGTCACACAGGACTCACCCAGGCAGTGCTCTCTTACCTAGTTTTTTTTTTTTTTTTTTTTGAGATGGAGTTTCGCTCTTGTTACCCAGGCTGGAGTGCAATGGTGCGATCTCGGCTCACCGCAACCTCCGCCTCCTGGGTTCAGGCAATTCTCCTGCCTCAGCCTCCCAAGTAGCTGGGACTACAGGCGCGCACCACCTTGCCCAGCTAATTTTTTGTATTTTTAGTAGAGACGGGGTTTCACCATGTTGACCAGGATGATCTCGATCTCCTGACCTCATGATCCACCCGCCTCGGCCTCCCAAAGTGCTGGGATTACAGGTGTGAGCCACCATGCCAGGTCTCATCTTCAAATGTCTGTACTCAAGCACCCTGAGACTGGAGTCCAAAAAAAATTTTTTTTTGTTTTTGAGATAGTCTCGATCTGTCACCCAGGCTGGAGTGCAGTGCCTCCATCTCAGCTCACTGCAACCTCTGCCTTTCAGGTCCAAGCGATCCTCCTGCCTCTGCCTTTTGAGTAGCTGGGATTACTGGCACCCGCCATCATGCCTGCCTAAGTTTTGTATTTTTAGTAGAGACGGGGTTTCACCACTTTGGCCAGACTGGTCTCGAACTCCTGGCTTCAAATGATCCACCCATCTCAGCTTCCCAAAGTGCTGGGATCACAGGTGTGAGCCACCACGCCTGGCCGAGTCCAAATTCTACCTTGAATTTTGAAGATGTCCCTAGAGCATCTTTGTTCTTCAGGACCCCAGGCCCCTCTTCTAACAAATGAAATAACTAAACACACACTGCCCGGCATACATCTCAATGTTCCCCGCACCAGCATGAGAGCTGGGAATGGGCTTTTGAATCTGCCAATCATCCTGAAGGGCAGGTGCTAAGAGGGAGCTATATCATGACCGCTAGTCTGCACACGGCGTGGGGCAGCCGCGGCAGCTGGACGGGAGTTCTCTTTGTCTTATTGGAGACCCAGGGGCATGTCCACTGCATCTGTTTCCCCAGTGCCCAGCTCAGGGCCGGGCAGGCAGGAGGCCTCCGGAAGCGCTGGCGGAGTGAACAAAGGCTGAAAGCATCAGGAAGGGGAGGAGACCGGGCATGTCAAGTCAGTTCCTGAGAGCAGAACCCAGCTCAGACTAAGCTTACCTGTCTTGCCCATTTGCCCAGCTCAGACTAAGCTGGGAATACGGCAAATGCTCAGTACGTCCCCGTTGAGTGAGCGTGAGAGGCAGAGACGCCCAGAATCAAAATTGCAGAGGAAACAAGCTTTAACTTTGTGCTTTGTGACCACGAAACCCCCACTCTCCCTGGGTGGCATTTAAGAATGGACTCCAGCGGCCCTCATGGTAACGTTTATTATTCTCCGCTTTGTACAAGCCGCGTCAGCCATCCCGCCTCCCACCCGCCCACCCCAAAGAGCACCCAGCACCCCCTTGTGCCCTCCCAACTCTGCTCATACTCCACTGTCCAGCCAGATTTCAAAGGACGGGGAGGGGCTGTTCAGACCCATCTCCGCCAAAGTTTACTGGGGCAGAGCGCTGCTGGGGTGGGGGCTGATGAGGGTCACAAGAGAGGGTTGGACGGAGGATCGGGTTCAGTGTCTGATGGGATGAGGAGAGGGCGGAGAGGTTGAGGATGGGAGTGATTCAGTCTTGAGCCTGTCGGGCGTGCGCCTGAAGGTCGCCAGTCCGTCGGAAGTTCTGAAGGAGCGGGCAACAGCGGGGGGCGGGGGGAAGAGTCTGATGAGCCCTGGGAGGAGGGAGTCCAGAAGGGGGCTTCTGATGGGCGTGGGATGGGACGCCCTCGGTCACGCATCTTTCCCGGCCAAGGTGCCCGCTCCTGCTCCAGGACCCCCGAGGTTCTCTGCCTTGTGCGCCAGGCGGTGTTTCTTGAGGCCGTAGGTGTTGGCGAAGCCCTCTCCGCACGAGGAACAGCGGAAGGGCCGGCCGCCCTGGTGGGCAGCCAGGTGCTTACGGAAGTAGCCGGGATCCTTGAAGGCCTTGAGGCAGGCGGGGCAGCGGAGCTCGGGCCGCGGCGGCTCGTGGGCGCGCTGGTGGCGCAGCACCGAGCTCAGATAGAAGAAGCCCTTGCCGCAGTGCTCGCAGCGGTAGGCGCGCTCGCCCAGGTGCAGCCGCTGGTGCTCCAGAAGGTTGGAGCGGTAGCGGAAGGTCTTGCCGCAGGCACTGCAGCGCTGGGGCCGGGCCACAGCGTGCAGCCGCCGGTGCTCCGCCAGGCTGGAAGACTGCGCGAAGCGCTTGGCGCACACGCCACACTTGAAGGCCCGCTCGCCAGTGTGCACCACGCGGTGCTGCCGCAGGTACCAGGAGCGCAGAAAGCCGCGGCCGCACACGCCGCACCGGTACGGCCGCTGTTCCGTGTGGCAGCGCTGGTGGCGCATCAGCAGGGCCGCCTCCCAGAAGCGCTTCCCGCACACCGGGCAGCGGAAGCCCCGCTTCTGCCGATGGCTGCGGCGGTGCAGGAGTAGGTCGTAGGCGCCCGCGAAGCTCTGGCCGCAGAGGCCGCAGCCCAGGGTCCGTCGCACCAGGTGCACGTACTTGTGAGTCACCAGACCCAGGAAGTGCTTGAAACTCTGGCCGCACGTGGCACAGCTGAAGCGCTCCGGGCCTGAACTGGCACCCCCGCCGGCCCCCGCCACTGCCGCCCCGCCTGCGTCCTCGCCTCCGGATACCCCAGCTAGCGCCGCCACAGCTGCCCCCACCTCCCCTGCCAGCCCGTTGTCCAGCACGCTGGCCGCATCCGTGCCGCTGGAGCCGTCTGGGGGCTGCGTGCCGCCGGGTGTGGGCGGGAGCAGGCGCTCGGGGGCGGCCTGGTGGACCAGCTTGTGCCACATGAGGTTCTCGATGAAGCCGAAGGTCTTGCCGCAGGCGTCGCAGCCGTATGGCTTCTCTGCCATGTGGGCCTCCTTGTGGCTCATGACGTGAAAGAGATCCGGGAAGTGCTCCCCGCAGTCCGAGCAGGCGTAGCTCAGCCCATCGGCAGGCCCTGCGGACGCGCCCGAGGCCCCCGGCCCACAGGCCCCCGGAGCGCCCTGGGTGGAGGGGAGGCCCGCGGCCCCGGCCAGGGCGCAGGGCAGCTGGAGCCGGTGCACCTGGCGGTGGCGGGTGAGGCTCTGAGGGTAGCCGAAGACCTTGCCGCACAGCTCGCACTTGTATGGCCGCTCGCGCGTGTGCACCACGTGGTGCTTGCTCAAGTGGAACGATTCACGGAAGCGCTTCCCGCACACGGGGCACTGGTGGGGCTTCTCGCCCGTGTGGATGCGCTCGTGGCGCTTCAGGGTCTCGCGGCGCCCGAAGCCGCGCCCGCAGATGCCGCAGCAGAACGTCTTTCCCGGGACACTGGCACCTGAGCCTCCTGCCCCACTGGTCCCCGCGCCACCGAGCAGCAGCGGATGGGCACCTAGGAGGGGGACCGGCACGGCGCCGTACACTACCGCTGCAGCTGCCGCGGCCGCCTTCTCACTGTCGGTGGCGGGAGGGTCGGGGGGCAGGAGGTACGGGCCCGGGGGGAAGGTGGGCGGGGGCTGCGGAGCGGAGGCAGCCCCGTCCTTGGGTGCCTCGGTGGCGGTGGCGGCAGCGGGCGGGGCGTGGGCGGCCTTGTGGCGGAGCAGGCTCTGCGGCGCCGAGTAGGACTTGCCACACAGGTCGCAGGGGTACACGGGCCGAGGTCCCCCCGCGCCCGCGTGGGCCGCCTGGTGCTTGAGGAGGTAGGAGGCGTCGCGGAAGGCTTTGCCGCAGATGCCGCAGGGCAGGCGCAGCAGGTCCGCGGAGTGCGTCTTCACGTGGCGCTTCAGGCTCTCCCTGCGGTTGAAGCTCTTGCTGCACACGGAGCAGGAGAAGGGCTTCTCGCCTGTGTGGATGATCTGGTGCTGGTGCAGGTGACTGGGCTTCTTGAAAACCTTCCAGCAGAGCGGGCAGGCGAACGGGCCGTCGCCACCCCCGGTGGTGGGAGGGGCCACCCCAACACCAGCTGGGGCAGCGCTCCCGTCTGCGGAGGGGGCGGGAGCCGTGGGCGTGGCGGGAGGACCCGAGGACACGGTGGAGGGGGCAGCAGCGGCAGCCGCAGTGCTGGCAGCGGGCGCCGGGAGGCCCAGCTGCGGAAGCTGGGGGCCGGGCTGGGGCGGGCCCCCCGCGGCCGGGGGCACGTCCTTGTGGCAGCGGCGGTGGCGGATGAGGCTGGACACGTGGTTGTAGGTGCGGCCGCAGACCCCGCACTCGTAAGGCCGCTCTCCCGAGTGCACCAGCATGTGCTGGACCAGGTGCGAGGACTGCTTGAAGGACTTCTGGCACACGCCGCAGGGGAAGCGCCGCTCCATCAGGTACTTCAGCCTCCGGAAGTAGCCCTTGTCGTCCTTGGTGGGGTCGCAGGCCGCTACCGCGGGGGGTCCCGGTGGGGTCTGTGAGGGGGTGGGAAGTGGCCCTGGGGCCCCCGCAGGAGGGCCCAGCCCGGGCGTCACCCCCGGCCCTGACGCGGGCCCTCCTCGCTTCAGGTTCCCGAACAAGTGCTGGTGTCCCGAGAGGTCCACGATGCCCCACTGGGGGGTGGGGAAAGCAGCGTCAAAGAGGGGAGGAGGGGGCGCCCCGAAGGCGGGCGGCAGGGGCGGATCGGGCTTCTTGGCTTGAGAAGAGGAAGAGGACGAAGACGAGGATGACGAGGAAGACGAAGAGGAGGAAGAGGAGGAGGAGGACGAGGAGGGCACCTCCGCCTTGGGCTTGAAGGTGGACTGGGGCGGGTAGTCATACTGCGGGGGTGGGGGCTGCGGCGGGGGCTGCGGTGGGGGGCCGGGGGCGCAGGGCAGGGCCGCCACCGCCTTGGCATGTTCCCCATACAGTTCCATGGGCTCGAAGCGCTGGTGGTTGAGGAATTCCAGGAAGTCGAAGGGGTAGCTCTGGAAGTGCACCCCGTCCTCACCCCCAAGGCCGCTGCTCCCGCCTCCCCCGGCGCCGCTGCCCACTGGGTTCGCCTCCATCTCCGGCAATTAGGAGACGCGAGACCCTGTGAAGAGGAGGAGGGGGCTGAGGACACGGCCGGGCCGCTGAGTCTCCCCACAGGTGAAGGGAGCTGTGCGCCCACCCATCCATCCAGCTGGGGATCACCCCCTGCCAGGTTTAGGCTTCCAGTCCCTCTGCCTGTCCACCCCGAAGGGCACCCCTTCCTCTCGGCTCCTGCCCCCTGCCTCTCCGGTTCGCCTTCACCTTCCCTCTGTGTGTTCTCAACTCCCACCCTGCTTCCCATCTCTCTTTTCCCTCGAACTCCTTCCAGCTCTTCCCATCTTTTCTGGGGTCACGACAGCTTTGCTGCCATCCTCAGACGCTCTCCTCCACACCACCTGCAGACCCTCTACGATTTGCAGAAACAGGGCCTTGCTTTGTTGCCCAGGCTGGTCTCAAACTACTGGACTCAAGTGATCCTCCTGCCTCCACCTCCTAAAGTGCTGGGATTATGGACATGAGCCACCGCCCCAGACGGGGCCCTCTACTTTCTCTCCTTCTCAGACTCCAATTCTCCCAGCATCCTGGGGCTTCTGGACCGGGTCTTTCCAAACCCTCTCAGGCCCTCTGCTTCTCTGCACTCTCCTGCTCCCTCCCCCACCCCAGCCCTCAGTCCTCATCCCTTCAGGTTTTATCCTAAAATGAGGATAATGTTAAGGGTAATGATAATGTTAAGGGTAATAAGAGTTTCTATCAGCACGATTGGGAGGGAAGACTCTGGGGCCAGACTGCCAGGTTCAAATGTAAGCCCTGCCACTTTCTAGCTGTGTGCCCATGGGCAGGTGACAGAACCTTTCTGTGCCTCCATTTCCTCATCCTCAAATGGGGACGACAAAGCACCTGCCTGCCTCACAGCGTTGTGAGACTTCAACACAACCCTGTGAGGGGGGCGGTTCCTGGCACTCTGTAAGCACTCGGTACACAGAAGGTATCAGCTGGGTGCAGTGGGTCACACCTGTAATCCCAGCACTGTGGGAGGCTGAGACAGCAGAACTGCTTCAGCCCAGGAGATGGAGGCTGCAATGAGCTGTGATCACAACACTGCACTCCAGCCTGGGTGACAGAGCAAGACCCAGCTCTAAAATTTAAAAAGAGAAGATATGAGGCTGCTCTCACTGTTATTACTAGCAGAAATAAGGAAGTCAGGACAAGCCTAGAGAGCTGAAGTCAGTATGCTGGGGGGGGGGGGTGCACTCTTTTAATACTAATACAAAGTAGAAAGGAGAATTTGCTTGCCTGGGAGAAATAAATTCAGCAAGGGGGCTGGCATGTAGTCAGAAGGTGGCCCGATGCAATCAAAACACAGACCTTGGGCTTGGAAAGACCTGGGTTCAAATCCCAGCTCCACTGGGATCCATGCTTTCTCCATGTTTAAAATCTGACTGGGGAGAACCCTATACTGCAGGGAGATTGAAGGGGGTTGGAACAGAATGAAATGAAACACACGCATCAGCAGAATGCATTCAACCCCCTGAGGTATCGGCACCATTCCTGACACCACGCCCCTGGGCTGAGCCTAGCAACAGACTTGAGTTCCCGTCCTCGCCCGTAGTGGGGCTTCTCCTGACCCCCCCACCCTGGCATCATTCTCTGGCACCTCCTTTAGCTGACTTTTCATTCCAGACTGCAGGTATCCATGTGTGTACCCCACACCACACCAGAACCTCAGCTCCCGTAACTGATCTCTGAGCTTACTCTTCCTGCTGGCATGGGGAAACACCTCCAGAGTGGGTGCAGGGCCAGTGGGAGAAGGGCCTGTGAGGTCTGACCCGCTTCCTGTCCATCATCCCCACCTGATGGGGGCCTGGCTCTAAGCCCAGACCACTGCGGGGGTCAAGGGGATTCCTACCCAGGCCTGGGCCCTTTATCCTCTATCCATCGGGCTGCTCTCTCCTCCCACAGGTGAGGGGTGAGTGTCTCTTCCACTCCAAACGCCATCCTGGAGTGAGATATTTTTAGTCTCCAGCTCTGGCTGTCCTTATCTTTGGACAAGACTCAACATCCCATGCCCTTCACACTCCCTCTGTCTAATCCGATCTCCGGAAAAAGGACAGGCGTGGCTAGGGTGGTAATTGGAAGGCTGTAGGTGGAACCTAAGTTGGGGAGACAGCTCTGGAGGGGGCTAACTGGACACGGAGGAAAGTGCAGGCTGTAAGGATGCAGGGAGCAGGGGGTGACTTAGGGTGCTATGGGGAGGAAGGGAAGAGTGTTTGGGGAAAGAAGCCACGGACCTAGCTTGCCTCCATCAGAGCACCATCAATCACAGCTACCACTGGGCATTTCCTAGAGGCCAGCCACTGTTCTAAGAACATTACACGTATTAATTCACTGACTCCCCACAACTCTAAGAAATAGGAGCAGCTGAGCAGCCCCCAGGCACCACAGCAACCCTAGGGTGCCACAGCCTGGAAGCTAAAAAATAGGAGCAGCTGTTACCACCACTGGATAAATTAGAAAATGAAGGCACGGAGAGGCAAAGTGAGTTGCCAGTAGTCACAGGGTAAGAGTCTGGATCAATGGGCATGAACCCCATTCCCACCCCTGCCCCCACGGCGGTGTTTCACCTGGGGTTGTTCCCAGAGTGAAGGACGGTGAGGGTGGAACTATCAGGATAAGAGCTTTATTGAGAGGTGTCCTCTGGGCTATGAGGGGTGTCTATACAAGGGGCCTGGTAGGAGATGGTGGTGGTTACACTCTCCTCTGCTTGGAATGTTCTTCCCCAGATTTCAACAAGGCTCCCACAGGAGCCTCCCTGGGTCTCTATTCAGCACTCCCCACCCCATCACCTGTAGCCCCTCATCAGCTGTAGGTTATTCATCATAGTTATTACTAGCAACTTATTGATACTCCTTTTCTGTGTGTTTACTGTTTGGCCTCTCTCTAGGAAAGCAAGGACTTGGCCTGTCTAGCTCGCCTCTGTGACCCCAGCACTTAGCGTAGCACGTGGCACAGTGTGGGTGCTTGACAAATATTTACTGATATGTGAAAATGAAACACCGCTTTCCTAAATCGCCAGTGGGTCCACAAAGAAATCATACATTAGAAAATGCTGGCTGGGCACAGTGGGTCACGCCTGTAATCCCAGCACTTTGGCAGGCTGAGGCAGGAGGATCACCTGAGGTTAGGAGTTCAAGACCAGCCTGGCCAACATGGCGAAACCCCATCTCTAATAAAAATACAAAAATTAGCCAGGCGTGGTGGCACATGTCTGTGATCCCAGCTACTTGGGAAGCTGAGGCAGGAGAATCGCTTGAACTTGGGAGGCAGAGGTTGGAGTGAGCTGAGCCTGTGCCACTGCACTCCAGCCTGGGTGACAAGAGCAAAACCCTGTCTCAAAAAAAGAGAAAATGCTTAGTAATTAATGAAAATGAAAACACAATATGCCAAAGCTGAGGAGGTACAGCCAAAGCAGTGCTCAGAGGGAAATGCATAGCTGGGAATGTCTATCTTGATATTCGTGGAATGAAAGGATTAGACTAAGCTGACCAAACTCCCAGAGGAACGGAGGGGGACATTTAGCATAAATGGAGCTCAGTGACCCCAGGAGTTCCTGGGAAATGATGTTACAGGGAAGGTCACTGAGGGCAGGGTGTGTATGTTGGAGGGATACATCAGCGGTGGACAGGATCGGTCAGGCTCATAATTTCCACTAGGAAACCAGAGACGTTTCCTCTTTCATACGACTCAAGCCTAAACTGGTGTTTTTTGTTTTTTTTTGAAATGGAGTCTTCTCTGTCACCCAGGCTCACTGCAACTTCTGCCTCTGGGATTTGAACGATTCTCCTGCCTCAGGTCCTTAGCAGCTGGGATTACAGGCATATGTCATTATGCCCAGCTAATTTTGTATTTTTAGTAGAGACGGGGTTTCACCACATTTGCCTGGATGGTCTTGAACTCCTGACCTTGTGATCCACCCACCTCGCCCTCCCAAAGTGCTAAGTGTTGGAATTACAGGCCTGAACCACCAGGCCTAAACTGGTGTCTTTAAGTGGGGATGTCATAGGAGGGTTTTATGTGGAGAGAAGCACGATGGGCCGTTCTGCTGCAACAAAGCTGCCTTGTGACAAACTTCTAGTTTGTTAATAAGAGACAAACATAAAGCGACATATGACACTGGCTGAGTGCTTTCTACTGCCCAGTACTCTTCTGGCTCTTACCTGTGTTTACTCAACCAGTCCTCCCACTAACCATAGGAGATGGTTACAATTACTGACTCTGAAATACGAAGGAAGAGACTGACAGCCAGAGACATAAATTAAACTTCCAAAGTCAGGCCGGGTGCAGTGGCTCAGGCCTGTAATCCCAGCACCTCCGGAGGCTGAGGCGGGTGGATCACCTGATGTCGGAAGTTGGAGACCAGCCTGGCCAACATATAGTGAAACCCCATCTCCACTAAAAATACAAAAATCACTTGGGCCTGGTGTTCCAGCTACTTGGGAAGCTGAGGCAGGATAACCGATTGAACCCAGGAGGCAGAGGTTGCAGTGGGCTCACTCCATGCACTCCAGGCTGAGCAACAGAGTGAGATTCCATCTCTCAAAAATAAATAAGGGCCGGGCTCACACCTATAATCCCAGCACTTTCGGAGGGTGAGGTGAGCAGATCATGAGGTCAGGAGTTCAAGACCAGTCTGGCCAACAGAGTGAAACCCCATCTCTACTAAAAATACAAAAAATTAGCTGGTGTGGTGGTGTGCGCCTGTAATCCCAGCTACTCAGGAGGCCGACGCGGGAGAATAGTTTGAACCTGGAAGGCAGAGGTTGCAGCGAGCTGAGATAGCACCACTGCACTCTAGCCCCACTGCAAGACTGTCTCAGTCAATCAATGAATCAATAAACAAACTTCCCAAGCCACACTGTGAACTCGTGGCAGAACCAGTGGTTGAAGAAAGGCAGCAAGGCTCCAGAGTCCATCTCATGCTGCCTTTCAATATTTCTCCCTCCAAAATGAAGGAGGAGCCCATCCCACTTCATACTGGATACATGCATTGCTCCACCCACCTTCCTGCCACCTATTCCCAAGTCTCTTGGCTTGACCCAAGACCAGGACAAGTTTGCTGAACTCTAACAAACATTGTGCTTAGGTACCTAATGTGGCTTGTTTCATTCAAACTTCACAACGAACTTGTAAGTATTAATATTATTCCCATTTTACCGACAGGAGGACTATAGCCAAACCATGTCTATCCTCTGTCTAAAATCAAACAGCAATCCCATCTTGCTCAAAAGCCACAGTCTTTACAATGACCTACACAGTCCCCACAGTCTCCTGGCTGCTATTCCAATATACCCACTCCATTACTGCCCCAGGGCCTTTGCACTGGCTGTTGCTTCTGCCTGTAATACTGACTCTCAGGCATCCACCTCGCTCACCCTTTCACCTCCTTCCCATCATTGCTCAGCTGTCTTCTCAATGAGCCTCTCAGTAACCAGTTACCTGTCACCCAGGCCCACATCTGGATCTCCCCTACCCTATTCATTTCTCTCCTTCCTGCTCATCCTCATTCACGACATTATGTAGTTGACTTCTCTGCCTTGATTTTGCTGCCCTCCCCAACCAGATCGGCTTCACAAAGGCAAGGATTTTTCTCTCTTGTTCACTGTTCTGTCCCCGGGACTTAACAACTGTTTCTGGCTTGACACATTTTTGTTTGAAGAAGTGAACGAATGAGACTAGGAAAGGAGGGAGTGGTGTGCTCAAAGCCGTGAATCCTGTTGGAACCCAGGGCTCATCCTCCTAATCACTTGACTCCTGGGGCTGGGGAGCTTTTAAGAGCAGCCTCCCAGTGGGCCACAGTTGTCCCGGAGAAGGGGAATTGATACCCTTGTACAACTTTTTGGTGTGTGGGTTTTGGGAAGGACAAGATGACAAGACATAGGAATATCCTGGGAGAGGCCACCCTGATGCCCCTGCTCCCCGTCTCCATCTCTTTACCCCCTGATATTTTACTTTTAACACACAAATATGCTCTTGGTTTTTATTTTCTTTTCACTGCAGCCTCGAACTCCTGGGCACAAGCAGTCCTCCCACCGCAGCCCCCTGAACAGCTGAGACTACAGGTGCATACCACCCACACCTAGCTTTTTAATTATTATTATTTCTGTAAAGACAGGGTCTATGTTGCCAGGGGTTGGTCTTCAACTCCTGGCCTCCACCGCTCCTCCCACACTGGCCTTCCCAACTGGTGGGATTACAGGCATGAGCCACTTCGCCTGGCCTGTGTTTTGTGTTTTAATCATCTGTCCCCTCAACTAGCATATCCACCCTATGAGGACAGGGATTCTTGTGTATTCTGTTCTCTGTTGCACCCCCAATGTAAAGTAGGTGCTCATTAAACAGGTGTTCAACAAGTGTTTATGAGTGAACATATAAATGAAAGAAGAACATTCTGGGCTTGGTAAAGCTGAAAAAGGCTAGATAATGTATCCCAGTGCCCTCACCTCCAAAGCCTTTTGAGACCAAACCTTCCTTCCTCTTGTTCTTCCCTTCAAATTGCCAGCCTCCCCCGCTGCTCCCCCACTCCCCGTGATCACAGCCACATAAGGCCCTTCTCACTTGCTGCTCCTGCTGCCTGTTCACCCAGATCTCTGGATGGCTTAACTGCCTCTTGTAATTCAGGTTTCACCTCTAAAGTAGTTCATCCGCCTCTGAGAGAACCCACAAAACCCCACATATCTTTGTTGATTTGTTTCTGACCGACTAGACTAAAACCCTGCACAATGAGAAGGCTGGGCACCTCTCCCCTTCATGCCCTTGAGCTAGAATGGCCAATGTTCATTCAATGAAGAATGCACGCCCAAGACGAAATAAGTCACACCCTAGTTAAGTCAAGGGTCTTCCCTAGAGAGTCCAGGACGAGGGCAGAGAGCTGGGTAAGAAGTTGCAGGTCAGGGCAAGCCTCGTTCATGCCATGGGAAGAGGGTGAGTAACACCCTGGGAGGAAAGGCCTCGCGGCCTCACTGCGGGACACTTCTGTGGCAGAAGTAATGAAGACAGGGGCTGACCATGACGAGGGTGGGGTGAGAGGAGGTACAGGAGTATTTCACGGGAGCCGAGAGCTAAGCAGGCAGATATTTCTACCTGAATGGGAAGAGGATGTGGGTATGAAAGAACTCTAGAGGGAGCTGTCCCGCCGCGAGGGGAGGTGTCTTTCAAAGGGGGGTGTATTCTTAAGGGGAATCACTGGGGGATCTACAGAAGGGAAAAAGGCATTCTTGTGCTGACCAGAATAGAAAGTATTTTCACACCCACGAAAAGGCGTTCGGCTGGAGCGGGAGGTGGCCAGGATCATTGGGGGCTGTTGCTGTGTATGAACAGAGATAACGGGGGCAGTTCTGCTGCAAATCGCTAAGGCAACACTCTGGGGAGAATTCTGTAGAGGACACTGAAGAAGAGGGTCCACGAGCAGATGCCCGACACGGGGAGGGGCAACGCTGATGGCATCTGGAGGCTGACCTGAGGAAGCAATGACGGGGGCGCTATGTGGAGGGGATCCTAGGAGGAGGTATCGGTTGGGGGACCTGGCAGCCGTTTAGGGGATCGCCACGAATTAAAGCGCTTTGGCAGTCATCCTAGCTGGGGGCGTTCACGGAGGAGCTATCTGCAGTGGTCTTACGGGGGAGCAGTGATTGGGGGTTCCCTGGCAAGGGCCGGGCGGGAGCTGCACTGACTTGCTAGGGGTGGGGGGACGCTCTGGGGACCAGAGCCTGCCAGGGCGGGGGCCCCCGCCCACGCTGCACCCGGGCCCCCGGGCCACGCACCCCGTCACTCACCGGCGCCGGGGTCTCCGCCGGGAGGAGGCCGAGGAGGCGGAGGAGGCGCCGCCGCTCCGGGGAGACCCGAGGGCCCGACCGGAAGTGCCGCCCCCTTCCCCCTCCCCGCAGCCCCGCGCCGCTCGACCGGAAGCGGAAGTCGCGCCCGTTCCCGAGGCGCCGGCGTGGAGGATCGGAAAGAGAAGGCGGTGGCGGGGAGCAGGAAGGGGGAAGTGCGCTTGCGCACTGACTCGGAAACGCGAACGGTGAAAGCTCGGCCGCTTCCGGTGGGAGAGCTGTGCCAGGTGCGCCTGCGCTTTGTGTGCCCGCCTCTTCTCAGGGCACCGCCTACACGCTCTGGGCATCCAGTTAAGCCACACCTCCAGCTCCGGTCTCACACTGAAGCTCCACCCACCCCCTGGCTCTGAACCACGCCCATTTCCCAGCGTAGTTCTAAGTCCCCACCGTCTGAAAATCTGTCTTCTTCCCCTAGCCTTCAAGCAGTTTCTCCTGTTCTGCCACTTCTCCAAGCTCCTATCTGGAAATTCACCCATCCCTAAACCACACTCCTTTCGTCCCAGCCCCCATGCAGAACCACGCCCCTTGCATGTAATCCCCGCCCCTTCACCCTATAGCATTTAAGCTGCACCTCGTGACTTTTGAGTACCTCCTACCTGTAAAGCAGTTTTTAAATCGATGGTTGTCAAGGACAGTTGGGAGGCCAGCAGCATCAATATCAGTATCCGGCTGCCTGCTCAGACCATGCAGAATGGAAGACCCCGGCGGTGGGGTTCTAGGGATCCGTGTTTTGAGATACTCTTCGGCTGATTCTGCTGCATGCTGGTCAAAAGCCATGGCTTTACCACACTTGACACTGCCCGGCTTATATAATCTCTATAATCCCGGCTCCCAACTCAGCCCCATCCCAAGCAGCCAAACCCAGGCCCATTCAGCCCCTCTTGCTAAGCTTCCCCCTCTCCCAGGAACTTCCCGTTAGTTACTCCTCTCTTAGATACTTACTTCTCTCCCCACCGCCTCCATAGCAGTTGTGCGCATCCCTCAGCACCTTCTTCTAAGTCTCACCTCTCCTAATACCCTGTTCCCTCCATTAAGCCCCGGCCCCTGGCCCTGAACCACGTCCACCTCAGAGCTGAATAATTATAAGCTCCGCCCCTCGCCTTAAAATCAGTCCTCTTGGACTGGCGTGGTGGCTCACGCCTGTAATCCCAGCACTTTGGGAGGCCACGGCAGGCAGATTACTTGAGCACAGGAGTTCAACACCAGCCTGGGCAATATGGCAAAACCCCGTCTCTACAAAAAAACATAAAAACTAGTCAGGAATGCTGGCGCGCGCCTGTAGTCTCAGCTCCTCCGGAGGCTGAAGTGGGAGGGTTGAGCTTGCAACCCTCAAACCCTGTTTGAGGCTGCAAGGTGCCGTGATCAGGCCACTGCACTCCAGCCTGGGTGACAGAGCGAGACCCTGTCCCAAAAAATATGTAATAATCCTTTCTCCTCGCCCACCCTCACACAGTTCCTCCGGTTCTTTCTCATCTCCAAGCCCCTACTCTCTAGAAGATAAACCCTATCACACTTCCTCTAAACCTGTCACTTTCTGCAGACCACTCCTAGGCCTATTTAAGCTCCACCCAACTCTAACCTCCTTCTCCTAAGCTCCTCCCAGTTCCCTAACTGTCCAATAAGCCTTGTCCCGCTGTCTCAGCCCCACCCATAGCCCTTAGCCCCGCCCTAAGCCACACCCCTTATCTCTAAACCTTACCCAGACCCTCAGTCCTGCTCACACCTTCGTCTCAATTTTTCCTTCCAAAGAGTAGGTTCTCAGGACAAGGAGCTGGGGCAAAATGCCTGCAGAATTTCTAGGAATTTGGCTAGGATAGAGGGGGGTCGGACCTAGGGTCAGGTTTCCATGGAAGGTTCAATGTTTTAGATTGGATGCGTATTGGGAATACAGCTGACCCTTGAACAACACGGGTTTGAACTGCAGGTCCACTGAAAGGCAGACTTTTTTTCACCCAAATACCGGTGGAACATACAGCATACGGAGGGCCGATTTTCCTAAATCCGCGGGTTCCGCAGGGCCCAGTGCTGGACTTGTGTATGCTCAGATCTTGGTATCTGCGGGGGTCGTGGAAACAATTCCCCACGGACACCGAGGGACCACTGGACTTTGGGGTCTGATGGGGACGGGAGAGGGACCAAGGCTCCCCCACAAACCATTCTTCGGCGAGCACCACGCTCATGAGGCACAGGTGGAGGGTTCCTCTCCCAATTTCTGGCACCCCGGGCAGGACGGTGTAGCCGAGGAAAAACATTTGAAGGCAGGAGAGGACGGCATGCCGGTAGGGAACACACACAGGCAGCCAGCAGGCAGAGATTTATTTCTACAGCCCCTGCCTCCAAGGGTCTGTTAGTCTGGGGGAGGGGGGCAGAAGGCAGCTGGACCCAGCAGTTTAGGTGTCCACCCTCCACCTGCTCCCACAATGGGAAGACCATCAGAAACAAGCGTGTCCCTGCCGCCTGGCCCAGGCCCACCACCAGCCAAACTCCCTGATCTAAGCCTGGCCCAGGGAGTAATGGCAGGGGGTGTGGGTCAGGCCGGTTCCCCCTTCCCCTCTGTCTCCCCCTCCTCCTCGGCCCCTGCTGTTCCCGGGATGCCCTCGTCGTCCCACGATGGTTCAGGCTCTGGGTCTGATGCACATAGGGGTACCCCCATGGCCTCCGGGTGCTTGCGCTTGGCATGGCGCCGGAGCGTGTTGGCCTCTGTAAAGCGCAGCCGGCAGACGGGGCACTGGTACGGGCGCTCCCCCGAGTGCACGCGGTGGTGGTGCGCCAGCTCGCCTGCCTCGCGGAAGCGGCGGGGGCATAGCGGGCAGCGGAAGGGCCGCAGGCCAGCATGGATGTTGCAGTGCCGCCGCAGATGGCTGGAGCGCTTGAAGGTCTTGCCGCAGTCCTTGCACTGGTGCGGCTTCAGCTCTGAGTGCGAGATGCTGTGGCGCTCAAGGTCGGAGAGGTAGGGGAAGGCCCGCAGGCACACCGGGCAGAAGTGCGGGGCCTTCCTGGGGCCGGAGCCTGCACACCCAGCCACTGACCCTTCAGAGACCGTATAGGGCACACCCTGATCATCGATCAGGAGGAGGTCGCTCCCGCCACTGCTGCCCACTGGGGCTGTGACCCCCTGCACCTGCACCTGCACCAGCTGGGGCTCCTGCCCTGACTTGGGGGGGCGGCCCCGCTTGCGAGGGAGGGAGGCCTTGAGCGTCCGATTTGAGGAGGTGGCTCCCCCAGGACGACGGCCTCGGCGGCCCCGGGGAACAGGAGGAGGTAAGGCCAGAGGTTTCTCTTCCTCCCCGGGCAAAGGCGAAGGCAACAGGTCTGGGCTGGGGGTGTCCATTGAGCAGTGGGGGGCTTGGGTCTGGGCACTGGAGCCAGCTAAGAGGAGAGAGGGGCAGAGTCAGTGCCCACAGGGTCTAGAGCACCCCTGTGTCCCCCAACACCTTGCCCATCCCTCTCTCCAAGTCGCTTGACAAGGGTGTAGTTGACATTCATCCAGACACACAATTTTAGCTATGCTGGTGGGTAAAACGGTGAGATGATCTTGTATCAGCTGATAAACAGGCACTTCCCTGAGCTCCACCAGACATCCCCATGGCTCCCTAACCCTCCTCCTGGATCTAAAAGTTCAAGATAGACATGAGCCAAAAACAAAAAACCACTTCTGGTCAGGCGCTGTGGCTCAAGCCTGTAATCCCAGCACTTTGGGAAGCTGAGGTGGGCGGATCACAAGGTCAGGAGTTCAAGACCATCTTGGCCAACATGGTAAAACCCCATCTCTACTAAAAATACAAAAATTAGCTGGGTGTGGTGGTGGGCACCTGTAGACCCAGCTACTCAGGAGGCTGAGGCAGGAGAATCACTTGAACCCAGGAGGTGAAGGTTGCAGTGAGCTGAGATCAAGGGACTGCACTCTAGCCTGGCTACAGAGCGAGACTCTGAGCCAGACTCTGTCTCCAAAATACAAAAACCATCTAGACAGGATAGAGTCCAACTGAGGGTGCAGGGCAGTACTGTGGTCCTTGAAACGCAGAGCCCATCAAACTCCAGAGCCATAGAGACCTTATGAATGATCTCATCCCTCCCTGCTGACTGGTAGAAGTGAGGAAGGGGTTCTAGACAGGAATGAAAGGACTGGTCCCAGGTGATATTTGACCCTGATTCCTGGATGAGGAAATATATCCGAGATGTTAAGGGCATGGGCCCTGGAGTCAAACATCCTTTGTTCAAGTCTTTACTTTCTGCCTGGCCTTGGGCAAGGTGTTCGCCTCTCTAAGTCTTAATCAAGACTTTTGCAAAATGGGACACATAGTTCTACGTACTTGCCCAGACATGCCTTGAGCATAATACCACAAAGTGTACATACACAAAAGCTTTCGGGACACATTAGCCACTGTTATCAGGAGCAGCAACCGTCTGAATAGGGCACATCTGTCCCATTTTGCAGATGGGAAACTGAGGCACGGGAAAGCCAAATCAGTTGCCTAAGTTCCTCTTCCAGTAAATGGCAGGGCCAAAACTGCAAGCCGGTCATGCTGACCCCAATGTCCCAGAGAATGGAGAACAAATGGACCCAAGGAGGAAAGGAGACATGATGAGGTCTCAGTCCTGGGTTTGAACTGAGCCCTGCCTATAACTAGCAAGTGACTTTGCCTCTCTGAGGCAGTTTCCTCCTCTGAAAAGTGGATAAACCAGGTTGTCAGGAGAATCGAATGAGATAGTGGGCTTTAAAATGCCCCTTGCACACTGCACGGTGCATAGTAAACACTGAACTTCATCAACGCGACCACCATCTTCCCAGCGCCCACTCAAATACTGGCACCGGAGTGTAACGAAGGGGGAGGGGAGGCGCAGGTGCAGCTGGAAGCAGGTGCTGCAGGTGCCCCTCCTGCACACCCGCCCCCCGCCACTTAACAGCACCATAAGCTGTGGTCCAGAGAGTTGCAACCACCTTTCCATATACTTCGCTCCCACGGGGCAGTCTAGTCTAGGAGTCAGGTCTCTGGAATGGTGGAACGGGGGAGGCTGGTCCCCGATCCTCCTGGTCTCCTCGCCCCGGTGCGTGCATGCGAGCCCATCGGACCCCGAGCTGCGAAGCCCGAGCGAGGGGCGGGCCCTGCGGGGGCGGTGGCCAATGAGCGCGCCGGGGCCGCGGGCGGCGGAGGCTGCCAGGAAGGGGGTCTGCGCGCGCGCGCCCGGGCGGCTTCGCGGGGCGCGAGGTCGGCGCGCGGGCGGGCACGAGCGCGGGAGCAGGAACAGGTGTTGGAAGCGCGCTCCGGGAGCGCGCGGCCCGGCCTCCCCTACCCCCGCACCCCCCACCCCGCCTGCGCCCCCCGCCTCTCGGGTACCTCATTTGCATGTCGCCGGGGCTCGCGAGTGTGCGCGCGCGCGGGGGCGACGGGGCCGGAGCGTGGGAAGGGGCGG